ACGTCGTCACGGCGCGATCGCCTGGTTGCCTTGGCCAACTGCATGGCCGCGGTGGCCTGACTTTTGACCTTTGACTTTTGACCCCTTTGACTTGTCGGCGTTGCAGGCGCTCGCGACCTGATCTCGAGGCTGCTGCAGAAGGACCCCTCGCAGCGCCTGTCGCTCCAGCAGATGATGGAGCACCCGTGGATCAAGCAGTTCGTCAAGAAGTACTACTGAGGCAGGCCACACACCCACACACCTTCAAGTCACCACCTTCAAGTCTCTCTCTCTCGCTTTATCGTGTGCATTGGATGCGCATGATGAGAGCACCTTCTTTTCTCTTTTCTTCTTCAACAAGACCTGCATTTGAGCCCACACCATAGCATACGAGTGAAACCCTGTGTTGCACAGCTGTGCTACTCGTCGTCGTCATCAACGTCGCTTGTAGCGTTCCTGCTGGAGGACGTACTGGCGCGTAGAACAGCCCAGCACCACCGTGTCGCCCTCCTTCAGCTCCACATACCTGTGTGCCACGTTGTGTGTGTGGTGTGTCGTGTGTGATTAATTCAAACGTTTCTAGCGAGAGCGAGCGAGAGTAGCGGGAACGAACTCGTTGGGTTTGATTCTTTGCTTGTTGACGAAGGTGCCGTTGGCGCTGCCCACGTCGATCAGGTACGGCCTGATGGCCCCGTTGACCTCGCGGAACTGCAGCGCCGCGTGCTGCTTGCTGCACGACTCGTGCGCCGCCACAATGTCCGACAACTGCACACACGCACACGCATACGCCGCACGTACGCGTTGTGAGCTCGCAACTCACAGGAAGGTGTGTGTCGTGTGGTGTGTGCGTTGTGTGATCATACCTCGGCCTCCCTGCCGAAGCGGTAGCAGCTCCGCTTGGCCACGTCGAGCGGTGCGCCCAGGGCCTGCCCGCTCTTGAAGACGTGCAGCACCCACGCCCGATCCGGCTTCTTCGCATCGCTCGGCTCCTGGAACAACCCATCATCAGCCCGTGCGTGTGCGTGTGCGTGCGTGCGTGCGGTGGTGCGCGTGTTGTGTGCGTGTGTGTGTGTGCATGCGTGTGCACCTTGTGCTTGTGATGGGCGGCCATGGCGGCCCTCCGTCTGGCGGCCTCGGCTTCGGCGCCGCCGGCGTCGCCTTCACCCTCATCATCCCACTCGCTCCTCCGCTCCTCTTTTTCTCTTCGTTCTTCTTCTCGCTTGCCTTTTCTTCGTCTTCGCTATCGTCGTCTTCGCTCTTTCCCTCGTCGTCTTCGCCCGTCGTTCTTCGCTTCTTGCGCCGCTTCTCCTCCTTGCGCCGCTTGCGCTCGTCCTTGCGCTTGCGCTTCTCCTCCTTGTGCCGCAGCTTCTCCTGCTCCTTGAGCTGGTCCTGCCGCTCCTTCATCTTCTTCTCGGCCTCCTCCTTCTCCTGCTTCTTCTTCTTGTCCACCTCGCGCAGCACACGCTGCAACCCCAACCCCACGTTAATACACGTCAGCACACGACACGACACACGACACACGACACGACACGCGCGCGATGACACGACACGACACACGTACGTCGTGTTCGCGCTCGAGTGCGGTTTCGATCATGCGGTCGCGGTAGGAGGAGCCGGTGGTGGAGAGCTGGCGCTGCAGGCGGCGCTTCTTGTAGTCGTCCTCCCGGTCCGAGATCCTGCTCTTCCTATACTCTGCGAACGGCTGCACACACCGCACACACGACACACGCACGCCGCACACGCCACACCGCACACGCCGCACGACACACGCCGCACACGAGGGTTAGGGGAAGAGAGAGGGAAGTGGCGGGAGGGAGGACGCACGTCGGCCTCTTCGTCGTCGTTCTTGGGGATGTCCCTGTACACGCTCTTGGGCGCGGTGTAGCGACCCGTCAACTTTCTGTGGTGCGCGTGTCGTGTGTGTATGTGCGTGTGCGGTCAGCAATCGCACGAGACACACCACACACACGAGCGAAATGAGTGCGCACCGGATGGAGCTGGCGGCTTCGGACATGTGGCCGTAGTCGTCTTCATCGTCATCGCCGCCGACGCTGATCGACGTCGCGTAGGCTGCAAAAAAAATGAATAAATGAATAAAAGAATGAATAAAATAACAAATAAATCCTCGTTTGTTTAAATAAATATTAAAAAAATCAGATTAACGTACCACCTCGGGATGAGGATCCGCCGTATAGGTCGTTGTCGAAGTCGCCCGAGGCGGTGCCGAAGGAGGCCAGGCGGCCCTCCTCCAGCGCCCGCTGCTTCTGCAGCTCAGCGATCTCCTTCTCCAGATCCTTGTCTGCTCCATTCAAAATCGTAAATTAGAGAACAAATCGTAGACATGTTGTTTACCTTTCATGGTTTTCTCTCACTAGCGAAGCCAGACAAGGAATATGGAACACAAAGATGAGGAGCGAAGATGGAGGAGGCGTGCCATCTACGGTGGGCGCCCTATGCATGTTTGTTTGATGCAGCTTGGCCTTTTCTGCTCCTTTTCTTTCCCTTTTTCATTTTCTTTCCCCTTTTTTTGTTGCTTTCTCAACTCTCCCAGCAACACCTGAAGTGCAACCAACATGGCAAAGCTCCAATAAACTGATCCACACCACTTTCCTCTTATTCACCACATTGGGGGGGGGGGGAATTGGGTGAGCCTAGTGTGAGTGAGCTTAGTGGAGGAAGGAACGGAAGGTGCCCCACATCTGCTGAGCCTGGGAGTGGTTGGTGTAGTCCAGGGCGTCAGCCTCCCAGACACCCACACCTGCAGGCCACACAAAGATGAAAAACAGCATCTTAGCCCCCACTGATTGGCATGATGGCAACTCTGCAGGTGCATGGGGCAGTACCGCGGATGTGCAGCGACTTGGCCAGCTCGCACTTGAGGGTGAGACTCTCCACATCGTCGTACCAGAGCTGGTGGATGTGGCCCTGGCTGGTCCTGTAGTCGAACCAGGGCGACTTGGCCGCAGCGTCCCACCTTACACACGTTACGAATGACACAACCATAAGACAAATGATGATGACTACCACGGCGACACTATTCAATGTTTGAAGGTGCGCACTGTCTCTTGGTGATGGCCTGAGAGCTGCTCAGGAGACGCTCCACGACGTGGTAATCAAGCTCGGGGGCGACGGCATCACTTCCCACGCATACGCACATGCACCACGGCACACGCACCACCACAAACACACACACACACACACGTCGCATCACCGCACACACAGAGATGAGCAAGTGCGCACACACACGGCCCCTCGGTTCATACCTGCAGGGAGCGCCGCGGAAGGGGACCGGCTGGATCGGGCAGACGGTGAGGTTCGCGGGGTTGATGCACGGGTAGTCGCGCCCATACCTGAACCCCAGCGCTCAGTCGACATTTCTTTTGTGGCGTGCGCCATGGCGTGTGCGATCGGTGCGTGCAATGGCGTGTGCGATCGATGGTGCGTGCGTGTGCGTGTGCTGGGGACGCACCAGGGGAGACCCAGCACGAGCTGCTCGGGCTTGATGCCCAGCTTGAGGTACTGTCTGAGTCCCTGTCGTTCGTGGTCAGTGCCCACGCCAATTTCAATTCAAAAGAAATAAATAAAACTATCAACTACTAAATTAATATGGAAGAAAAATAAATATAATAATGAATAATGAATAAAAATACCTCTTCGGCGCGCGGGTAGCCAGAGTTGGCCCCGGCGATGCACTTGGAAGCCGGAATCTGGCTCTGCATGTCGTACGCCATCACGAACAGGAAGTCCGTGAAGTCGGCCAGGCCCTGCAGATCACAACCGCACAGCCTATGAGACCAGAGTAGCGTGCGTGCGGTGATGTGTGTCTTGTGTGTCGCGTTCGTGTTGTGTGCCGTTCGTGGTGTGTGCCGCGTTCGTGTTGTGTGTCGTGTGTCGTGTGTCGTGCGTGTGTCGGCGCGTGCCTTGTAGTCGTAGCAGCGCTCGTCGACGCACTGGGGGCTCCAGGCGACGTCGAAGGTGAGCTGGTGATTCGGGACCTGGCGGTCGAGCTCCCCCTTGAGCTCGTGCATGAGCACCGTGAGCAGCTTCCGCTCCTGCGGCTGGTCGGCCTTGAGGGCGTCCTCGATGTCGACATTGATGCCGTCCGTGAACGTGTCCCTCACCCGCGCCGCCTGCGCCTTCACCCACTGCTTCCTGTGGCGATCACTTAGCCGTGTGTGCGGTCGTGCGTGTGCGGTCGTGTGCGTGTGCGGTCGTGTGCGGTTACCTCTGCTCTGCGTTGGTGAGGTTGGAGACGGGAAAGGCCGCGCCCCACACGACCCGGACCTTCTTGGAGTGGGCGTGGCACAGGAATTCGGGATTCACCGAGTCGGTAAAGAGCGCGACGGTGGTGACCAAGGCCCAGTCATACCTGCCATTGGGTCCCACACAAAGTTATTATTGTTGTTAAAAAAGTTGGCCAATCAGACCAACTTGCGGCCGGGCAGGGTGGTTTGGTAGTGGGGGGCGAACCCTCTCCAGTTGGCGAAGGAGTTGTCGACCATGAAGGCGAAGACCTCCTTGCGGGGCGGCACCTGCACCCTCTCGCACAGTGTGGCATCGCTGCACGGGCACTTGGCGCCGTCGGCCACCGCCGTGCTGCACACTACCACCACCACCAGTAGTAGAACCCCAACCATCGACCAGCTCAGCTGCCGTGCCATCATGTCCACTTGCTTCCTCTTGCAGCAGCCAGTCTTCCCCGGTGTCTTGTCCGCTTTGTCGACCTGAATTAAGGTAAGAGCGAATGGAAAATCAAAGATAAATTAGCCAACGGTGGTTGTCGGTGGGTTGTCAGATGTCGACAGTATCGACCAGTAACGGCACGTTGGGCGTGGGTATTTGAGGGCCGGGCTGGGCCGGCCGATCTTCTTGTTGTCGCTACACCACATCTAATCAACATGTCCAACCCCCGCGTCTTCTTCGACATCACCATCGGCGGTAACGCTGCTGGCCGCATCGTCTTCGAGGTACAGCATCCACCTTCTTTGCGTCTCTACGTGTGTAATACAGGCCAAGAGGTCGATAGAAGGGAGATGGTGGTTGTTCTTGAACCACCAGATGTGGTGAGGAAGGAAGGGATCGTTCGTTTACGCACTGGATCTTGTGCTGCGTGCATCATCTTCGTTGATATCCAAACAAAATTAACTGTCGATCTTCTCTTGTACAGCTCTACTCGGACGTTACCCCCAAGACCTGCGAGAACTTCCGTGCTCTCTGCACTGGTACGCTCAATCTCAGTTCTGAGGATCGATCATCGCCTAACAGAGGCCTCGTTCTACAGGTGAGAAGGGTATGGGTGGCTCGGGCAAGCCCCTCCACTACAAGGGCAGCTCCTTCCACAGGATCATCCCCGGCTTCATGTGCCAGGGTGGCGACTTCACCCGCGGTGACGGCCGTGGTGGCGAGTCCATCTACGGTGCCAAGTTCGCTGATGAGAACTTCAAGATCAAGCACTCTGGCCTCGGCACCCTGTCCATGGCCAACGCTGGTCCCAACAGTACGTTAATCGTCAATAGCACACCGATTGGCCCCACTACTCAAATTTTCAATTAATTGATCGCCATTCTCCTGCAGCCAACGGCTCGCAGTTCTTCATCTGCACTGCCGAGACCTCGTGGCTCGATGGCAAGCACACCGTGTTCGGCAAGGCCATCGAGGGCCTCGACGTCATCAAGGCCATGGAGAAGGTCGGCTCCCAGTCTGGTGCCACCGCCAAGAAGGTCACCATCGCCGACTGCGGCCAGCTCTAAATGCTGCACTTTCACCATCCGCGGATCAATGCACGATCTCAATTAGATTTGTTGGGGTCTCATCCACTCTGCAATAAACCCACAAACACCATCTCGATTCTGTGGCCATTCCTTTTCCTCTTCGATCGAGCCAGAATCTTGGCCGAATGATGCAAAGAGCCACTGAACATCCCCTCTTAAGATCGAAGCGTTCAAAGCTTGGCCTGACATCATCTAAGTCCTCAGAGCCGAGCCTTGTTGGCGAACCGGCACCACTTCCTTTATCAAGCAGGAGCCTGATGACCATGACATTCCCGAGTCTTCATGTGGAACCAGCCGGAAAAGCGACCGATGGTGCTGGACACGACCGTCACCTCCTGCGAGATGACCAAGCCGTTGGGCGTTGATCCAGGGCACCTGAGAGTGCTGGGAGCTCCCACGCTCTCTTCATCTTAACCAGCCTCTTTGCCACTGCCTTCGTCTTCATCTTTTTTTCTTCTCTTCTTCTTCTTCTCAACTTCATGTCGTACCTGCCTCGAGTCCACATTGAAGAAGTCAGCGAGGCCGTGGTCGTGCACCAGGACGCGCCCGTCGTGAAGAAGGAGATCATCGTGCAACACCCCGAGGTCGTGCGCCGCGAGCACCACGTGCAGCCCATCATCCACGAGACCGAGCGGCGCGTCGAGCCGGTCTACCGAACCGTCGTCACTACCGAGCACCCGGTCACCCACCGCGAGGTGGTGGTCGACGAGCCCGGCCTACTGGACCATCATCATCATCACGAGCGCACCACGACTGGGTCGGACCTGGTGCCGCGCGCCGCGAAGGAAACGCTCATCGTCGAAGACCCGCCTGTGGTGGAGAGGAAAGTGGTGCACGAGCACCCGGAGATCATCCACCACGAACACCACATTCAGCCAATCATCCGCGAGACAGAGCGGCACATCGAGCCGATACACAAGACCGAGATCACGACCGAACACCCCGTCACCTACCAGGTCAGCAGCCCCTCTTGTTTTGTCGTCTGGAATGTGCGCATTGGATTGGAATTGTGCATTGCGTTCACGTGGAATGGTTGCAATGCAATGCAGGAAGTGGTGGTGAAGGACCCGGCGTTGGTGGCGCGGCCGGTGGTGGTGGCCTCGCGCGAGGCGGGAGGCGCGACCAGGACCTACCACCATCACTCGTCGCACGCCACGCTGGGCCAAAAGCTGAAGGGCACGATGACGCAGCTGATGGGCTCCATCACGGGCAACGAGGCCAAGAAGGAGAAGGGTCGGCTGCTCAAGCAAGGCGTGGACCCTACGACGAGGGTCACCCCCACCACCCCAGTTACGACGACGACGACGACCATGACCACGACCCACGCGGACGTCTATCCAACCACCGCCCAACACATCTAGAGTGGGATTGGTCCATCTTCGTTTGGCCACTCAAATTTCAGAAAACCTGCCTGTACGCTCAACTGTCAGGCCTTGTCTCTCTTTGGCTTGTCAATACATCGCCCCCCCCCCAAAACCAACCTTCATGCTTCTACAAGCCAACAGCACAAGTTAGCACAGTTATAAGCCTTGGTTTGCTGTAGATGGCCACCAGCACTACTACTCCCCTTGCAAAGGCTGCTGGTATGTTGAGCTCTTCATTCAAAAGAAGTTGAAGCAAAAGATGCAGTAACGATTTATAAGCCTCAGAAGCTGATGAGGCCTCTGTTCTTTCTTCTGTTCGGGCTACAGAGGCGCTACGCTGTCGTTTCACCGACCTGGCGGGCCTCTACGTCTACCCCGGGGGAAGCCAGCACCGCATCGACTCCCTGTGGTGGTGGGTCAAGTTCGTCTACGACCACTCCACCCTGCGCCCCGCCGAGGGCGGCGCGCTCAAGCGCGTCTTTTCCCTCAGCGAGGGCCACAAGAGCAATCGCGCCGCTTGGGGCAAGAGCAAAGCCTACCTCTTCGCCCTCGCCTACAAGGCACGTCGTGAGTGTGTGTGTGTGTGTGTGTCGTGTGTGTCGTGTGTGCGCACACGGTCTGATCGAGTTCTGCAGTACACGGCGCATTGGAGGGCTTGCGCCGAGAGACAGCCGCAGCCGCAGCAACAAGAGGGGTCGACCGACCCCCAGGCCGCACCGGTGCTGGTGAAGCCGGACCCGGAGGACCAGCTGCTGGCGTGGCTTGACCTGCTCCTCCTCATCGCCTGGAAGCACATGGTACTCCCTCCCCATCTAGAGTCTAGCCCTGTCGATGCCCTGACCGCGTGTCGTGTCGTGTGCGTTGTGTGTCGTGTCGTGTCGTGCCGCCTGTGCTGTTGTGACAGTCGACTCAAACAGCCAAGTCGAGAAAGGGGTGGTTGGCCTTCCCCTTTGTCACCCTCAAGCGCGCCACCACCGACGAGTCCGACCCAGCCGCCGCCGTCTTCAGCGACTACGAGTACCTGGGCCTCACCACTGTCGGTACTCCACCAAAAAATTATAAATTATATTTTAAACAATTACATTAAAAAACATATAAATTGTTATTGCAGTGTTTATTTTTGGTATTTTTAATTTAAAAATATCAACTAATCGCTACCGCAGAGGAAGCGAACGGTTGGCAGCTGGAGTGGACGGAGGAGGGCGAGAAGGCCTTCCAGCACTGGAGCGCGCGCGAGGACGAGATCAAGGCCCTGGGCTCGCTGCGCCGCCGGCTGATCGACGACCGCGCCGAGGCCGCCCTCGCCGACGCTCGCAAGGCGCTCGACACCGCCATCGGACGCGGGCGGGCGCGGCCAACCCGGCAGAGCAAGGCCACAGTGATCGACCTCACCGCCGGTGCGTTCGATCGAACACAACGCACCCGACCAACTTCCTGACGTGTGTCATGTGTGCGTGTGCGGTGTGTCGTGTCGTGTCGTGCAGAAACGGTGGTGAAGCTGAGCGCGGAGGTGGGGGCGCTGAGGGAGGAGCTGAGCAAGCTGCTCGCGGAGACCAAGAAGCAGAAGAAGAAGCGACTGCGCGTAAAGAAGGAGAAAAAGGAGAAGAAGAAGAAGAGGAAGAAGGAGGAGAAGGAGAAGGAGGCCACAGAGAATGAAGAGAGCGACGACGATCGCAGCGGTGATGACAATGAAGACGACGACGGCGACGATGATGATGAGATCGAGGACGAAGGGGACGACCAAAGCCAGACAACACTCTCGAGGAAGAGGAAGCGCCAAGAGGAAGAAGAGAAAGAGAAGAAAGAGAAGAGCAAGAAGAAGAAGAAGAAGAGCAACAACAAGAAGAAGGCGAAGAAGAGGCGAACAGGTGATGAAGGAGAAGAAGAAAAGAAGGAGGAGGAGAAGATGGCTGAGCCAGAGGAACAAGACGACGACGGCGACGATGGTGAAGAGCGCCACAGTTTGGTGCGTCGCCGCAAGCGTCGGGCCAGGAGCCTCTTCGAGATGCGTGCCGGCAGCTGCACGCAGAGTTGAACCAGGCTGCCTAAGACATCACAACTAGAGCACTCAACCAGACTAGAGCGCGCGACACACGACACGACACGACACACAGCACCCAACAAATAAAGACACGCTTCTTTTTCATCTCTTGATCGAGTCCAGAAAGGTGTTGCGTGTGTTGGCAGTGTTCAGCTTCTCTTGTCTTGAGTTGAGCCACTGCTTTGGAGGTTTCATCTTTCGAAATGGCTGACTTGGCGAGAAGGAAGAAGGAGGATGCGATTCGCTTGAAGGCGTGGCTGGAGCCCCACCTGCCCAGCATCAACCGCCTGCAGGCCATCCTCCTGTGGCTCGACACCACTGGTACCCATCTCCTCATCCTCATTCTGAATTGTGTGATGCTCATACATCTTTTCTTCCCCATCTGCACTCTACAGGTCAGGTTCAATTCGTGGTCCTTTGTGTTCTGACCCACATGGCGCTCGGGTTGGTGCCCCCTTCCCTTCATCATCGAAATTCAGATCCGTGTAGCCGCTTCATCATTTTTTTCTGAATGATCCATCTCTTGCTTGGCTGTGGTCGTGCGGTGGGCAACAGGCTGGGCGCGCACCTGGCCGAAGGGGTGACGCTGCCGGCGGTGGTACCCTACGCGCTCGGGCTGTACCTCCTCGCCCGCTACGCCGTCGTGGCCGCTCCCATTCCCTGGGAGTCCATTCTGGTACCCACTTCCCTCTCGCGGCCACAACGTGCGTCGCGCGTGTCGTGTGCGTCGTGCGTGCGTGCGTGCGTGCGTGGTGTGTTTGCGTGCGTCGTGTCGTGTGCGTCGTGTGTCGTGTCGTGTGCGTCGTGTGTCGTGTGTGTGTGTGCGCTGACGTGGACACCAGTCTGTGGGTGCGACGGGAGCGAGGCCTCCCTACGCACTCGACGACATCGTGCAGGCGGTCGTGTCGGCGCAGCACTTCGTGCTCACCGTCTACTATGAAATGCAGAGGCTCAGGGACATCAACTACGCCAAGGTTCGTGTTGTGTGTGTGTGTGTGTGTGTGTGTGTGTGTGTGTGTGTGTGTGTGTGTGTGTGTGTGTGTGTGTGTGTGTGTGTGTCGTCGTCGTCGTACGTCG